ATTGAAGATAACTTTAATGGAAACTACAACAAAAGAAGAACTAAATCCCAATTAATTAGATTTGACCTTAAAATTGTGATCAATTTTTCATCTCTAAAAAGCTCTTACTAACACATCATAGTTACCTCAAATAAATTCGAAAGAGAGAAAATTGAAGAAAAATGTATATTTTGGTGAATGTGTTAGTAAATTAAAGGTATCAGTTCAAGCAAGTGGGTCTGTTATACAACTTAATATCTTCTTGCCACTAATTCTGTGCACAGAGGTAAATTCAACTCAGATGATCTGTTACTTCTCACTACAAATACACTGTCAGATGAAACATCAGGGTAGGGTTTTCTTTAAGGTTTTAAGTAGCCAGAGCATTTTTAGAGGTAAATGGTTGTAGGTCTCAAAATCCAACATGGCAGACAAAACATTGTTCATACTTTCCTGCCACTGCAGCAAGGTTTGTCAAAAAGACAGTCCCCATCAGAATATTTTTAAACTAACCTTGAATCAGAAGTCCTTTTATGTTTTCAGAAAAGATAGGCAGTGCAAATTTATATTATTATTGAGCCCAAGTTAAGATCTAATAAACAACATCTCTGTATGGGCTCTCGAAGCAATGAAAATAGCCAGCAAAACCCTGCAGAGAAGCCAGCATACTTCACCAGCTGCCGGCTCTTATCTACAACCCTGTCAGGGTGGTATGTAAGTTTTCTTTAGTAAAAACCAATATATAACAGATACTCATTACCAGGGTAGCTACACTCACCATGCCTCTATTGTTGCTAGTCATTAGCTGAGTAACATCTTTAAGCAAAGATTCTTGTATTATATGTGAATCTTCTACTATGCTTCTCTTACAGATGACAGCCACTACTTGCAACACTTGCTCCTTCACATATTTTTGAACACTGCAGGAACAACAAGACATTCAGTTACAAATTGTGCAATGGTAGCTTAACAGCCCATAGCTGCCTGTACTTATCACACCCCACCCCTCCCCTCCCCTCCCTGAGCCCTTTCTGCACCACCAAGCAAGTGGGAGTATATTTATTCCTCCCAGATGGAATTCTGGTCTATTACAGACACTTCATCCCTCAGTACTGCATCAGGTTTCCCCCCGAGGTTTTCTCCTCCATGTTGACTTTCCCAAGTTTACATAAGTGATACTTTAACCCTTTAACTCCCATAGGTGACCAAGACAGAATTTCTCCTTACAATATCAATACAATATCAAGCAGATAAGTGATGGGAATAAAGAAAAATATCAATTAGGGGATTACAAGTTGATCCAATACCAAATTCTCCAAACTAACATCACAAGAACTGTATGGCAGACAGTAAGGAGAGTTATAAACAAGATCTTGGGAGTTAAAGGGTTACGAATATAGTGCTTTGCCCAAGAACACAACACAACAACAAATTGACACAGTTGGGGCTCCAAGCCTTAAGTCCTGATCTAGATTCAAGTACTCATACCAAAAGGCCTCTGTGTCTTCGACAAACAAGAGTAATAATTGCTAAATATTACACATGAATGAATCCTCAAAATAGTCTCAATTTAATGCACCATTCTTTCCCAATCTGTATTTTCAAAGTTCTTCACTCAAATGAAATTCTTTGCTTTTCTTCTTACCCTTGTTTATGAGTCACAAATGTCAACAGGAATGATCTCAAGGATTCCACATCTGCTTTTTCAAGAATTGTCCACTCGCGAAGGATGGCTTCTTTGATTGTTGAGGCAGCTTGGAACAGCAAATAATCATTCTTGCTTTGCTCTGCACAAATAAAAAGAACAATCCTTTTAAGGGACTTGTCAGAAATTAGCAGGGGGGAGGGGGGGGTGGAAACAGAGGGGGGGTCACAACTTTTTGAGCCTCAGAAAAGGGAGGGGCCATGAAAAATGGGCAGTTAAAAGGGGGAGGGTCATGCAAATATATGCCTGTGATCATGTAGAGGTTCACCCACAGAAGAAAAAGGAAGTTCTTTATTTGGAAGAGGTGGATGATCATGATGAATGTGAGGTAGATGAAGGGGATGAGGCATTACCCACTTGTTCTAGTGATGAAGACTTTGTATTGGGAGAAATAGGAGAGTCGAGTGATCAGTCGGACTCTTAATGCTGTCATCGAAAATGTATGTATGTAGCATGACAAAGAACAGATTAGAAATATATTTTGAGTTTTCATAATACTGACGCACCCTAGTGTATTGCAAGAACTAGATTTTATCATTTATACAAGAGGGGGAGGGTCATGATATTTTAGGCCAAGCTCAAGGGGAGGGTTAGCAAATTTCACTCCCATTGCAGGGATGGGTCACCTAATTTCCAAACCCAAATTTAAAATTCCCACCCCCCTCCCCCCCTGCTAATTTCTGACAAGTCCCTAAGGTGAAAAACTTAATTTCATAAGTTTTTCATAACTTACCCTCCACGCATAAAACAACATATGAAAATTAACAAACTATAATAAAACAATAATCTCAGTGAATTTGAGTGTCCATTAGTGAGAGACAACACCCACAATAAGCTCTCTTTTATGATGACTTGAAACTGAGGTGTAAAAGGGAAGGAAGGGCAACAAAAAACAGAAATTCTCAAGATTAAATAACCTTTGAAGTTGAAAAACCTCCCCTGATATTTTCACTGGATATCAAATAACCAGAATGGCAGATTTTTATTCTTTATATTCAAATAAATACAGCAGTGATGTGACATTGCTATTCAAGACAGAAATACCTGCTGGAGCCCCAGCCAATGCCCAGTCTTAATGAAAGCATAGAATGCTGTTTGGCAAATGTTCACCACTTTCACCCACTCTAAGGTAAGAATACACCTCAGAGAATACCAAAAATGAGTTCATTTCTTTCAAAAAACCAAAAAAAGGTCGAAAACCAAACTCTTGATGCATTATTGTGTCTCTTCAGCTGCCTGAAGGTGAATAGTAGTTGCTGATCACTTCTAAACTAGCCAATCAGCACACACAAAAAGCACTATTCACCTGTGTAGAATATACTAAGAGGCAAAATACACTAGTTTGGTATAAAATAATTTTAGCAATAGGTATGTGGTAAAATTTCCGCACAGCCCCATCCTATATTATGCATTCAGTTCCTGAATGGAGAAAACAATGACAAAAACAATACATTTCCATTGGGAAAACAGATTTGTTTTACAATAGTATGGGGCTGTGCGGAAACTTTAACTCAAGGCTAATATGAATAAGTTAGTTTTAAAACCGTTCTTCAATCTGGGCTCTTGTAGGGCTTGTAATAAAATGTTGATAATTTTTTTTGTCCTTTTTCTATCGTCATGATGGAGAAGACACGAGAGAGACTGAAAGATAACTTTAAGATTTTGTGATCGATTAAACTAAGAATTAAATTGATCAAAAGGGGATTACAATATTGGTTACCTAGGATCTGCCTGCATGCCAGGTAAGGTGACTTTGATCTTCTAAAATTCAGGAACACTTGTTCGGCGGACTGGCGCTGTTGATGCGTCACAGCATTTGGCGGAGCCTGAAAACCCACGTGCGAATTAAACCGGTTCATATGAAAATAAATCGGCTAAAAGGAGTAATCTGAACTCTTACCATCATTATGGCGGCCGAATGTTCCAGTTCCTGAATGGAAGTCATTCTAAAACCGACCGTAAAACGCACTATTCGCGGGTGAACTACATTGAAAGCTGGTTTACCTGTTTACGCGGTGCAAAACAAAGTTTCTACAAGGCAATTCTACCGTGTAGGAATGGCACTAGAACACAATTAGGATCCAGATCCCAATCAACTTCCCTATCCCTCGGCCTTCAATGTAATCTCCAGACACAAACAGTAGCTAGGGTAGGACTGTAACCCCATAAACTGATTGGAAGCTGGAAAAGAAAGGGCATGAACAAAGAAAAAGGGAATCTAAGGCTACATTTCATATTGACATTTGCCCCCCTAGGGTTTAAAAGTGGTGATTAGGAGTGAAAAAACATCTCATGCAAGCTTCTTGATTCTGGCATAGGACACACTGATTAAAAATCCTTCCAAACCCTCAATAGAAAGCTACACAAAAGGACACAGCAAAATTGACAGCAAGAAAAAAACAACACGTAGTGGAAGAATTAGACATTACTGAAAGGCTCTGAGGAATAAGCCTCAGAAACTCTATAGTTCAGTTCCCAGAACAATGTGCTGAAGTTTCAGTGCTCAACATTGAATTTCTAAATACAAAAATATTCTGGTGATAGGTATTCTTCATGCTGGAAAACTCCATGAATTTGGTGTATGAATTAAGAGGCCACAAAGGAAAAAAATACTGTGCATGCACACAGCTTGCTATCCTGTCCATCCACTTCATGAGAAATTTTGTTATCAAAACAACATGTCCTTCTGCCTGCATTTGACCTTATTGTCTTGTAGGATTGGTGCCTTTATATTGCAGGCCCAGGTATTCAGGTATCTTGGATTCTTATTACTCAGGCATAAGTTTATCTCACTCTTTATGATATTTGGTGTACAAATACAAACCACAAACTACCAACCAGGTTATTTTGTATTGTTTTTTTTTCTTTGCTATATGGTGCAGTGGTATCACATAGAGTAAAAATTAATAAAATAATTTATCTGCATCCCTTAAAACCCCACCCCATGTCTGGCAAGGCCCAACATTGGAATTTAGTTGTAAAATGTTCAGTCTTGTTTGTTTCCAGAGACAAAAGAGAACACAATAGTTCAATTTACCAGTACACCAGGTATGTAGCATTGGTAATGATACACTTGTGTTCTATGTTGTGCAAACTTACTAGTAATAATTATCTCTTGAAGGCAAGTTGCATGTTAATAAAGAGATACAGTTCTGCAATACAAAGTAACAGTTTAGTTTTCTTCTATCTCTGCCTCGAACCTTATGAAGAGATGAACATCATTCTACCATTCAGTAACCATGAGGCAGAGAGGATTTTATGTAGATGATTGGTAAAAATCTTTGTCAATAATAGATAAACACAACTCAATCTCAACAAAACTTTATTTGTCAATGGAAGTACCATTCAATGATACAGTGTGGTTGTCTGAATGTAGAGGGTCATGAGAAAGGCTTTTGTCAATGACATTGCAACAGAACTGATAAAAATGACTGCAGTTAGGCATGCACTGAAAGTATTTCATTTAAGGGTTTTAGCACTTGCATCTCCTGACATCAAGAATAGTCTTCAGAACCTTTTCTTAGTGGTAAGTTTCAGCTGCCCAGCTGTTCACTACAAGAATCTGCGAAATATCCTGGCCTCAAAAACATACTGCATACTACATTTTCAAGTCCCTGATGGCAGCAACATAGACCTCAAAAAAAAGAGAAAACCACAATCAAAATTTACATAAAATAATGGAGGAACAACTAAGTACATAAACAAGCCCCATTACCTCTTAAACCCCCCAAGAGTGACTGGCCTCTAATTTCTCTTTACAGAACCACTATTGAATCAAATATAAAGGTCATGAGAATATGGGATAAGATCACCAATTTAAGAAGGTCCTGAAGGTCAAACAAATTCTCCTTGTCAGTACTATGAGGGAAATTTAAGATAACAATGTGGAGAATATAAATACCACTGTCAGGGTGTAAAGGGTTAAGAATTGTTAGCTCAGCACATGCAGAATCCCAACACATCAACAAAGCCTTCTACCACAAGTGCAAAGACAGTGCTGCTATGTCAGCCAGTCCACATCTGTAACTGGTTTCAGGACCCCTGCACTTTCATCAAAGCTAACACAGACACATAGTAATTGGTGATAAGGGGTAAAATTGCTATTGCAAATTCTCTGAAATGTCTTCCAAGTATGGGAGACCCTGTGATGAGTAACTATCTACCAAGAAATCATTTTTATTAAGTAAATAGTCACTTCCACAAACAAAACAAGGACAAATCATCACTAACTTACCTGTTTCCTTTACCCCATGCTTTAAGTCTTAATCAACAAAGGTATCCTAGTAAGACAAACAAAATAAAGTGAGTCTTAGGCTAAAGAACCATTCTCTGTTCTTGAACTCTCTTACTGAGTTCATTCACTCTGAAAGAGAGTTAATGGAATAATCATCCATTCTGTTCATAACTTCACAGTTGTTCATCAGTGTGAATGAAATTTAATAACACAGAATATAATTATGATCTGAACATAATATCATGAGCCCCTTCTCTAAGGTTTCATTATCCTAAACACTCACAGATAGAATATGGGGGCCTTACAGAAAAGTTATCAAATCTCTAGCCAGCAAGAGTGACCAAAAAGCAATTTCTCCCTATATATAATAATAACAATAAACTTTTGAGCAGAAAGCTGATATGCAAAAAGAAATTGTAAACGGAGAGATGTTCTTAGAATTAACACCAAACTCTTAACAGCTCAAAATAAAAAAGAATGCATTGCAAACATTGCAAAGAAGTGAAATTCAGATCTTGGAAGTGAAAGAGAGTGAAAGAGCCAAAATGCTACGCGTTTTTTCCTTCACAACTAGTAAACAGTTATCTGGCTTTAGAGCAAAATATGATTAAGTATCATAAAACCAAAACGAAATTAATCACCGCAGTCAATCAGATTTCAAAAGGAAAAAACTCTAAGGAAAAACAAGAAAAATGCATTTCAGTAGTGAGGTAAATGGGCTGAGGCAAGTTCACAACTCTACGATTTTATCGTTCTGACTCCCTCTTTTCCCACGATTTCCTCCTTGTATGGTTAACTAGCTTTAAGAATTTAGAAAATAACCTGACAGTTCGCTAGAAGTCAAGAAATAAATAACCTACCGTACATCACCTTTACGGAGGGAAAACTGTTACAAAGAAAACTGTTAGCGTCCTACCACGTGTTTCATGTGCGCCCACTGAATCATGGGATATAAATTTACGCGAGATGGAGTCGGATGGGACTCTGACACAAGAGGAAAGGTACTTCACAAATGATTTGGTACCCCCCTCCAATTTCGGTCGTTTCTGTCCCATTTTGGACGTTTCCGTCCAATTTCAGAAACATGCGTTTGATATTGAAAAATTACTAAAATACCAATGGAAAATCTAAGGCAGATGAGTCAGACATGTCCATCTTATTTCGGTTAGTTTTGTTACGGACTGATATGAATTAAAAGCTAGATGGATGAAAATAAACGGTCATCAACATGACAAGCACAAGTGTTTTTTAAATAATACGTCTCGTACCTGAGGTAGATACATGTACCTGTGGTGGCGATGAGACTAGACTGCAGCTGTTTTAGGATCTCACCTTTTTTTGTTATCGTCTTTTCTGAGTACTAGCATGGTTTGGGTTAGCAGCAATCTGCACGTACCTTAGTCCTTCATTGAAAAGAAAACGCGAAGGACTATAGATAGATAGATAGATAGACAGATAGTTTTATTGACCAAAAACATAGCATCTATAGGCTGAATTACGTCTAGCTTACAATTACTAATATATATATAAATATATATATAAATACAATAAGAAAACTATAAATACCCTATAATATAGTATATAATTAAAAATATGATTGCAATTAATTAAATATCTAGTTATTAAAAACGTGACTTAGAATAAAACTGTTCTTGCAACGTTCAGTCCTACATCTTGATAGTTTATGTAGTCTTTGGTTCCCGAGGCTGTAAGTAGATGTGTTCACTTCTGGCAAAAGTGAATGTAATTTGTGTTCATTATTTGTATAGATCTCGACGAAGAGTTTCGAGGAGATTTCTTCTTTAGGTCTTGGAACCTGAAACAAGTCCAAATCATAAATTTCCAACCAGGAATTTTTAGACGTGTTCCACATAAAGGTTACATTTAGTTTTAGTTTTCCCATTTCTTGAAGAGGTACCAACAAGCCTTACCGTACAAGGTCTCATCTACCGTTAAAACCTTTATAGAAACAATATTACTGAAGAGGTTTCTAAGGCGAAGACGGATGACTCTGACTCTTGAGACTCTTGACTCCAGTAGAGAAAGGCTACTAGATCACTACGGCTAAATCAATGTTGAGACTAATTCTCGAAAGGAGCTTTTTGTCCATAAGCCACTCGACGAACGGAAGTTTGGACAAGTTTCAAGAATATTTATTAAAGGGCGGATCTTAAACCAACAACGGGATTATTTTCTTTTTTGCAAAATTAAATAAACTTTCCAATTCCATTCAACAAACCTAGCGCACCCAACCGTATCTAATACATCACCATAGCTGCAAAGAAATTTGCATTTTTAATCACATAAATCACCTATTAATAAGCCATCACAACTTGACGCCGCGAACGGTTTGTCAATTGCTCGCACTCGGTCTAAGTAAACTTGCAATCGATTTGAAAACGCAGAACATGTAGCGTTCATGTAAAGTTGTTGTCGAGGTGATCTTTGATCTAAGACGCTGAAGATACAGAGAAAGCATCGATCAAAGGCTTCCACGTGGCAGAGCGCCGGATTTCACTAATCATCGACTTGCAATGAATCGTGATTATAATCAGGTTGGTCCATTTTGTGGCTCTTGTAAATGTTTAGTTCTAAATAAGATAGAGATAGCCAACGATGTTCATCAACAACCTGGCATGATCGCACATCTACATTAATAGGGTAGCTGAAGTAAAATCTCGCCGATAGAAGTTAAGTCACAACATTGAGCTGACATTGAGTAGAGGCCTATTACACTGCTTAATCCATATGAACTCTTGACACAACCATGATTACTTTGAAAGTAGCAAACTTCTTTGCAATATAACCTTCAAGAGATCATCAAGTAAAAAAGTAATAAAAAATTTGTAACTTGGCTTTTTATGGAAGAACTTTGTTTAGTCTTCTGTATGTGATTACGAAATCATGCTAATAGTGAAGTTAATTAACGTCCACCAAAACATCATCATTTAATTATCACCTCGTGTTGCTTGTCAGACCAAAACACATGTTCATCAAAGCATGATAGCATTCAATATCAAACCTCTACACATTTCCACAACACCTCTTGAGCCAATCTCGTGTGTCCGCCCTAGTGACACTTTTCTCTCACGGCGTTGATGTCCGATCTTGCGGATGCCCGGAAGCTACTCTTTTGTTACGGTATAGTACTCTTTGGCTGCGGTAAAATGCATGGCAATATGCTAGATGCTTCTGTCTGACATCGATATGCTACAATCCATAGCAATTTTTTCGCTTAGGCTGGGAGGCGAATTGAAACGATTTTGGTTTTACCTATAAACAGGGTTGGAGTTTTAGCAGCTCGACATAACAAACCCCGCTTTTTAAAGTGTCCCCCCCTCTCCTGCTGGGGACGAGTGGGTATTCCTTTTATCTAGTTTTTGTTTGTTTGTTTGCAGCTGAGTGGAGAAGGGGGGGGGCTATAACCGACGAATTTCTAATTTTACGATAATGCATAACAAGAACAAAAATCGACGTACAATAGCAGGTGCAGGTTTTACCCTTTTCCTCTAAGTAAACAAGAGACTGGGTGGGGCGAGGAAAAGGGATTAGTTTCCCCTTCTTGTAACTAGCTCCGCTAGAAGCTTGTGATAATCCTGTGAAAATAACCCGTTCATCATCATATTTAATCGTAAAAACCGTACAAGAGAAAAAGACACACTGACACGAGCTTGATTCAGGTAAGGGGATTTCGATTTAGAACGAGTTTGAATGAAAGAGTGTATGTAGTTGGGGGGGAAAAAGATGATGTAAACATACCATACCACTCTTACCAGACCCTTACTATTAAATCGCCTTCGATTAAAAAGCACGTTCATTCTATTTTTCCCGGGCAAGGCTTGCTCAGACCATTAATGACGGAAGTGTATGTCTAGCAAGCCATACAGCACACTTTCTGCAACAGTTGATAAGGGCCAAGGAGCGTGTCGCGAGAATGACCAAACTACCGGCGGCAGGAAAGGGGAGAAAAATGGTAGACTCCTTCATTCTTTCTCCTGGGCGCATTATGCCAGCGCGCAGCCTTTGAGCCAATTAGAGAGCGATTGAATAAAGCAGATTGAATTTCAAACATAGGTGTTCTTTTTCATAATAAAAGTGCTTGTGTTTCGTTGTTTCAGGTCTCAGTTTTGTATTCCACGGCTATGGATAACATTGACATTGCGGACGCGCTCGAGAGTGGAAGGCCACGCGCAGCCTCTGAGGAAAAAGGCTTGCGTAGATGGATAAGGACTTTGCACGTCCTTTGGGACCGTTACTCCTTTCAGGTCATTGTTGTGGTTATTTCGCTTCTACTGCTTATTTACACAGTTATAGGTGAGTGTCACTGAGTCAAAAACAAACAACAGGGTCATAGGTTAGAGGTAAAGCGATTAGTTATAAGGTGAATGAGGTGAAGCGAATGAGTCAAAGTGTGATCGGATCGATTCTCTCCTTCTCGGCTTTTTCAGAGATATCACGCAACCACCTACCCTTAAATTCGTTGCGTGACATCCCGGAGACGGCTGCAAGGAGACAACAGAATAAAGAGAACAACGCCAGGGAATAGAAATCAGATGTTAATTTATAAATTTTACAAATGGACCCTTGGTGTTAATTCTAAAAGGGGAAAATTTTACTAAGATCATCCCAAGAACGTCTACTACCGCAGTGTATTGGAGTAGACCAGGATAAAATTGGTTCGATAAAACTGAGTGCCTTTTTCTCTCCTACCGGGCGCTGTAGCCATCAGTATCAGTGGATTTCACCATGTAAGAGGACTCTTCGCCATCTCGCTGGTATTCTGGTTTTGCGTGATCTACATGTTTATTCGTGACCACTGTGGAGGGGAAATTTACACTTTATGTTGTTTACCTGTTATTTCACTGATTCGAAAGAAATGGAGGATCCTTAGATGGTAAGTTACTTGAGTAACTTCAATGGAATAATTAGTATGCAGATGAGTTACCCCAGATGAGTGCGCAATTTTTATGCAGAGGTAACGATTGGTCGAAAGTTGGATCGCTCAAAGGGAAACTTCATTGTGATCGTTGGGCGGGGTACTAAAGAAGAAGAGTGTCACCTGAAACCATCCGAACGAGGACCCACTCTTCACTAGAGATGAGACTATAAATCCTTAGAATTAAAGCGTTCTACGTAAACGCAATTCTGGGATGGCTCAGCTTTAAAACTGATGCGCTGGATGGTCCTCAACATGCCACCTGTGCACTTAACTCTCATTTAAGTCTATCGTGTAAGGGAGCCCTGCGCGATCAGCGATGTCGATCGCCCATTTGTCGCAATGAGCAAGTCTTCAGGAACAATAACTGATCTTGTACAGTAGAGCGTTATATCTTTGTAAAAATACGGTATGAAACTTTTTTGTAAGTTAGTTCTTTCATTGTTTTGTTTTGATACTCATTAATCTTCCCACAGGATTGTGCTTCTCGTGATATTGACGTTAATTGGTTTGTGGTTTGGTCTCGACACAGCTAAGGAGCCGAGAAGATTCATATCCGTGCTAGGAATGCTGGTCTATGTCGGAATTAGTTACGCGTTTTCGGTGCACCGAAAAAAAGTGAGTCGGAATCTCAGTAACAATTGCGCATGCGCATACGTCATGGAAAACTACGTTTGTAGTTGGCACTGAGACGCACGTGGGTGGGGCAGGGGGGAATACGATGGTGATGGTGGGGGTAACTGTGGTAAAAGCAGGATTACAAATTTTATAAACCAAAAGAGGATTTTCTCTTTTATAATTCATTTAAGACTTTAAGCAAAAACAACAGAGGAATGGCAAGCTCAAAGCGTGGAAAGAGTTCCCTGAATCAAATGGTTTTAACGTTACGAGTGCTTGATAATTTTGTTCCTTATTTGCTGATAGTACCTTGGTTGATGAAGAGAGTATTAAAGACTCTAATAATAAAGAATTTTGCGAGCTACACTTTTA